GTCCTGCAGGCTTTACTCCCTCGGGTTTTACTCCATTCGCATCATTAATGTCAACTCTACTTTGAGGAGGCGGCTCTTCCCCAGTCGCATTTTGAGCGCCTTCCAACCTGAGGGGCTCATTTTCCGGCACTATATCGGACAGTGTTTCTCTGCTATTCATAGAGTTTTCAGTGACTAGCGATTCGGAAGTAGTTCGTCACTCCTTCTTCCTAGTCTGTCTTTGTCTGGAAGCTCATCTGAAACCTGTCCACCACAGGTGACCCTGCTGTTTATTTACAATACTGGTGGTAAAACTTCCTGAATCATAGCAACTCACCACAGTAAGACATACTGACAATCCACCACAGTAAGACATACTGACAGACGAGTGTTGCAAACCACTCAGTTACTTGACTAACAGAACCTAATTTACTTGCTCTTTGGTGAAAGAATTTTAAACTGGTAACTTATAAATAAAATAAAAACTAAACTGTAACCCTGTTACATACACACAAAAGACAAAGATGTTTCAAGTCAGCTTGCTGAGAATCTTTTTTTTCCTGATCATCTCATACATTTGTTTTCATTGTTGCTTTGTATATGCTCTAGCATGTTACTTAATAAAAAAAATTTCCTAAAAAACACATTTCAAAGTACTTCATAAGCCATCCAATTTCTAGTCACTTTCATGAAGAAGACTGTTTTCACAATAATAAAATCAAATTATAATATAGGAGTAACACTCAAACTTTTATACAATTTTGTTTAATTTTTAAGACTTCCTCAGTTTTTAAAAAGACCTGGATTCTATTAGTATTTGTTGCTATTGTTGTTAAATGCCATCAGGTCGACTCCGACTCATAATGACCCAGTATAGGATTTTCAGGAGTGGCTGGTGAATTTGAACCACCAGTACTGAAGTTCAAACAGACTTTGCAGCCCAGTGCATTATATATCTCACAGTGCCACACCAGTATTGATACTGTCATTTATAGAGGAAAATTCATTGAAGTATTGCCAAAAAAATTAACCAATCTGTTTTGAAAGAAGTACAGCCAGAGTGCTCCTTGGAAGCTGGCCAGACTTTATCTCTCATACTTCAGGCATGTTATCAGGCAGGACCAGGCCCTGGAGAAGGGTAGCATGTTTGGTACAGTGGAGGGTCAGAGACAAAGAGGAAGACGGTTCAAGCAAAGCAATGATTGAGAGGTGGTGCAGGAGCAGACAGTGTTTCATTCCACTGTGCAGAGGGTCGCTGTGAGTCGGTATCAACTTAGTACCTACCAACAACCGCCTACTCATAAGTCACCAGGAGCGCAGTGGCTCCATAGGACTGCCAATCACAAGGTTAACAGTTTGAGCCCACAGTCGCTCATGGGAGAAGATGAGGCTTTCTGCTCCCCAAAAAATACAAAGCCTTGGAAATTCTACATATGGTCACTACGAGCCTGAAACACCTCAACAGTACAAGCACCACCACCACATTCATAATCACTATCCCTTTTAAGGAAGAAATGGTGACTCAATTAGAAACATAAGCAGTTGAATTTGAACTATAAAGTACCTATTTTTCTTTGGGGGTGCTGAGTAAATACTAAAAAAGATATGTTCTTTGAGGGGGAAACCCCTCCCATAAAATATGCATATTTAATAAGTTATTCAAACTTAAGCTAGATTTGCATAACCTACTAAAGGGTTCAAACGTAGCAATTGTGTGGACGAAGCAGGAACAGGCAGTGTTTCTTTCTGTTGTGCATAGGGTCACTATGAGTCAGAGTACCTAATCATCACACTAAGCAGGAGGTCCTGGTGTGGCACTTTGGGTTAATGCGCCAGACTGCAAAGCCATTTGAACCGCAAGGTCAGTGGTTCAAGCTCACCAGTCACTCTTTGGAAACCCTATACAGGGTCACTATGGGTCAGAATCGACTCGACGGCACTTAACAACAACAACAAATTAATAAATAATCACTCTTAGC